AACCGCTGATCCATGGCTTTCCTAACCCACCAGGCTTTTGCCAAGGTCTCCAACACAACCCCGGATGGCCTAGCCCTGAACGTGATCTATGATGTCTCCCACAACATTGCCAAAGTAGAGCAGCACATGGTGGATGGGAAGGAAGGGACGTTGCTGGTGCACAGGAAGGGGTCCACACATGCTTTTGCTCAACAGCATGGACTCATCACTGTTGACTACCAGCTCACTGGACAGCCCATGCTTATTGGTGGCACCATGGGAACCTGCAGTTATGTTCTCACTGGAACTGAACAAGGCATGACCAAGACCTTTGGAATCACCTGTCATGGTGGCAAATTGGCAGCTATGGGAATTGCAATCCTGGTAGCCTTGCCCAAACTAGATATGGGAGGGGCTCTTGAGTCCTGTAAGAATGAGACCACTGTGGTGAACAGCTGCCACGATGCTGGAATCAGCAAGAAGGCCATTAAATTGAGGCCAGCCACAGTCATCAAAGGATAAGGCCCCCAAGCCTCTGGACTGCCTGACCTCAGCCAGGTGGGGGCAGACTGAGACCCTCTGGACACCACTGACTGACAGCCCTGCATTGTATGGCTGTGGCTGCCCATGCCAAAAGGTTCCCTGAAGGCAGGCAATGAAGCTGTTGTCCAGAAGGAGCTGAGGGGCCTCTTACTTATCCCAAAGATTTTCAGGAAAATCTGTGAGGGGCAGAAGGGGAAGAAACTGCCTTACTCAGCCATGTAGGTCTTTAATCAGCAGGATAAACTGCGCACAAAGCCCTTTTACACCCAGTAGATGTCAAGAACATTCTATTAAACACAGGTCTGGCATGCAAAAAAAAAAAAAGAAAGAATAAGTAGAAATTATCAACATATCTAAAAATTAAAGAATTTTATTTAGGAACTTGTAAATTTATCCTCACTGTTGCCTTATAAAAATATACCTCTGTGCTTTAGAACATTGGTCATTATATGCTCTATTTCACTCTTTTTTGTCTCTTAAAGACTTGAGGGTCACTGTAGAGGGGAGACTTTAAGAAAAAAGTGATGCAGTTGGCCTCATTTAGGTAACTAGTTTGACTGTATTTTTGTACTTTTGTGTTTAGACATGTAAGTTGCTATAGAAGATTTTTAATCTCAGAATCTTACTTTCTAGAAGAAAGAATTTGGAGATTTTTTATTCAATAGATATGACCAATACAAAGCAAAATTATTTTTCATTGAATTTAAGAATTCAGAAACTGAGATGCATTTTTTTTCAAAATGTGGTTTCAATACTAACAAATACAAATGAAGAGACTTAAATGTGAATGCCTGAGCTTGAATCCCAGCCGTCCCACTTGGATGCTGATTGCATAAGGCCAGTCTTTTATATTCCATGCGCCTTGCTGTGTCTATTCGTAAAACTGAGACATTGGTGGGATTCATGGGATCACTGGGGAGGACTGAACACCTTGCACAGAGTGTGTCCGGGACATTACCTTACCTGCATTCACTTACAACTTTCCCATGAATTTAAACCATTCCTAAATAACATCTATATTTAAAGATAATTTAGGAAAAAGTACAGCAAAGTTTACATTTTAGTGCTAAAGAAATGTTAATTTTAGATACTGACATTAAGGAATTTTTTGTTTGCATCACCTAGTTCTCTAGTTAATATAAGTAATATGAAATAATACTTAAAAGCTGTTCCCTTCTATTTATATTCCTTGGCTTCATATCCACTTACTAGTTGTATGAATTTGGTGCAATCACTTTTTACTTTTCTTTTTATTTATTTATTTATTGGATACATGGTCTTGCTACACAGCTCAGACACATAGTGATCCTTCTGTCTCGGCCTCCCCAGACCTGGGAATACAGGCATGTGCCACCACGTCAAGTTTTGGGGCTGGCACCGCATGCAGTACCAGGGATTAAACTCAGATCTTTGTGTTTGCCAAATAGGTGCTTAGACTGTTGAGTTGTCTATTGAATTTGGTGAAATCCTAGCCATTCTGTATTTGCCTTCTTATTGTCACCTGTGGATGTGTGCATTAGCCAACTGTCCTCCTGCTTGGGCCTGATATCTGGCACCGGTAGCTTAAAATAGAGTTTTAATCTGGCTCACAGTTTAAGGGTCTAGCTAATGATTGGCAGGTAGGCATCAAGGCAGGGATGGCATGGTGACCAAAGAGCAGAGCTGAGGACAGCATGCGAGGAGGAAGAGTCAGGGCCACGAATAGTTACTACAGGTCATGCCCTCACACCTCCCATACACACACAGAAATGTGTTCCACCAACCCTCAGGCAACTCTAGAGCTGTGTGGTCTGCACAATGAAGCCTAACTGTCACAGCATGGTGACAATAGCACGGATTTTAGTGCTACTGTAGGGCCAGATGTCTTTCAATATAGTAGTACATAAGAAGATCTCGGGAGTGCTGGGTATTAGAATCTGTTCAAAGGGAAGGAACAACTGGGTTAAGGGAAAGGACAAAAGGATGGAGGAGGGAAGGGCAAATATAGATTTATGTGTACTTACAGAACAGCTTGGACAATTGTATTCCTCCTGTCTGCTGAGTTTTTGAAAGTAGCAATTAATGCTTAAATTTTTTTTCTTTCTCCATTTTAATTTTTTACAACTTTTTTGGTCAATTTTACACGCTTATACCTGGTAATCTGAATAACTAACTCGAAGGCAACAAAATGCAATATGCCATCCACGGTTGAATTCCTATTATTATTTTATTTAGTGAGATTCTATATCATTTCTAATGTACTTTTTGCTATCATTCTCTTTAAAAAATAAAAAAATTAGTATTAATATTATAAGTGAGGTAGGTCAATATCTGCCCCTGAACTTTTCAAATATGAAGACCATCTATCATAGATTTTAGAAAATTGTCTTTATATAAAAACAATTTGGTCCCATTGCTTCCTTAAATGCCATGTCAGGGGTCACTAACTCTTATTCAAAAAAATAAGGACTTGCATTTCTAGTTATTGTTTCCAGGGAAACAGAGGCTGCCTTACAATCACTTTGCAACCGGACTGGGCAGCCAAGCTCAAGTCAGAATTCTCTGGGAAAGAATCTGTGGACAAGCTGCGGGGCCTCCTGTCTGATGAAAAGCAAGTTTGTTGCTGGAAAGCCAAGAGGCAATCACTTGCTCCTCAGCTTGCTGATGATATCTCTGACCTCACTTTTCTGAGCGGCCCACAACTTTCTTAGAAGCCTTCGGAACAAGAAATTCACTAAAGCATTAGTGGGTAAATGATCAGCCTTATATATCCCAGAGAAGAGGCTATCTTTTCATTAGGCTAATGAGAAAATACAAATAAATTCTCTGATTAGATATGTTATCTGACACAGAGCACATGTTGCCTGTAACAGACCACAGGAGGACATTTCCTCAGAGCCAAAAGAAAGACTGGTGGCCAAAATCTGTGGATCAGAGTGAAGAGACAAGCTACAGAACGGAAGGAAAAAAATGGCTGGCTGTACCTCTGACAAGGATTAATGTCCAGATTATATGAGGAATTTAAACAAGTCAACAATAAAATAAAAATAAATCCCACTTAAAGATGAGATAAGGGGACAAGCATGCCTGTAATCCCAGCACAGGGCAGGCTACAGCAGGAGGATCACCAAGAGTGTGAGGCCAACCTGGGCTACAGACTGAGTTCAGGACAACCCAAACTGCATAGCGAGGCTGTGTCCCTAAAGGACAACAACAGAGCCAGAGAGTCATCTCAGTGGACTAAGTGCTTGCTTAGGCAAGGGCAGGGACCACAGTTGGATCCCCAGCACCACATGCAGCACCAGCCCCACCCCCAGGCAAGCTGAGCCTCCACTGAGTCCAGGCATGGTGGTGCACACCTGTAATCCAGTGCTGGGGAGGCTGCAAGCAGGAAGATCATAACAAGTCTGAGCTCCATAATGAGACTATGTAATAACCAAATACATTAAAAATAAATAATAACAACAAAAATGGAATAATGAACTCAACAGACATCTCTCAAAAGAAGAAATACAAATGGCCAACAAAAATTTAGAATACTGTGCAAGGTCTTTAGCCATCAGGGAAATGCAGTCTGAAACCATAATTGACATCACTTCACCCAAGTTAGGATGAATATCATCAAAAGACAAAAACAAAAAGAAAGCAAACAAATGCTGCCAAGCATGTGGCAAAAAGGGAGCACACACTTTTTGGTGGGAATGTAAACTAGTAAAGCCATTATGGTGGAATAGCAAAGAATTCCCCCCCCCAACAAGCTAAAAATACATCTATCGTTTGATCCAGCTATGTCACTTCTGGATATATCCAAAGAAAGTGAAGTTAGTATATCAAAATGGTGCTTGCAGTCTCATGCTTATTGTATGACTCATCACAATAGCTAAAACATGGGATCAGCCTAGCTGTCCATCAATAGAGGAGAAAGGTATGAGACACAGACAGATACAGATGCCGGCGCCCATACAGGCAGATAAGCAGATTCATATTATGATGAGACTCGGCTAGAACAAAGAATGGGATCTTGTCATTTGCATCAAAATAGATCGAACTAGCTACATCATATTAAGTGAAGTAAGCCAACACAGAAAGATAAATATCACATGTTCTGTTTCATATGTTGAAGGTAAAACAAAATCAGCCTGAATGTTGAACAGTGATTACTAAAGGCTGGGAAAGGGAGAGGAAGAAGAGACAGTGTGTGCCAAAACGTGGCTATATAAAAGAAACACGATCTGGTGTTCCACAGCACAGTGGTATGACTGCAGCTTACAATGAACTATTATACTGCAGAAGAATTTTGTTCACAATGTTTCAAAACCCAAACATGTCAACAGACCGCAGTGTTCCTTCCACTTCCCAGAAGTACAGACTGTCCCTGGCCTGTTACTATTTCCACTTTGTTCCTGTACTCATGAAGCTCCAGTCACTCACAAAAGACCCCCACCCTGCCCCATAAAAAGTGTAAATGAAACTTCCTGTACAATTTGGGGGCTCACGCTTTGGGGTCAGGTCTCTCTGAGCCCTCCAGTGTGATAAAGCTCAATTCTCTTCACTTCTCCAAGTGCCACTCTGTTTCTTCCTGAAGGTAAAACTAAAATTGCTGTAACAATATGTTTTATAAAGAATTTGAAGTCCTGAAACAAAAGAAATGATAAGAAAATGAAAATGCTAATTTCCTGATTTGATCATTAGACACTGTATTTATCTATTAAAATATCATTTTGTGGGGCTGGCGAGATGGCTCAGTGGTCTAAAGCACCTACTTGGAACAAGTTTAGCAAACCACAGGGACCACGGTTCAATCCCCCAGCACCACATGCCAGCCAGCCTCGCCCCCTGGTGGGCTGAGCTGGCCACACACGCGCACACACACACAATAAATAAATAAATGTTTATAAAAAAAATATATATATATATCATTTTGTGACTGCCCTATAAAAAGCATAATTTTATGTTAATCAATTTTCAAAGATTATTAACATACAAAGATATTCTCAAGGGATAAATATTGAGGTTCAAATTTCTTAACAAACAGGGCAGGTGCTCTTAGATCTCAAAACCTCATATAAGTTTTCTCAGTGAGTTTGTTGTGAAGATAAAACTGTCTTTTGTCTCCAAAGAGAAAAGCAATTAATTAATTAATTAATTGACTTGTATTTGCAACTCTGACTGAAGAAAAATTTAACTAACCAGTTAGGTTTTTCAGCTGTAAAAGTTTTTGTCATAAAAAGACAAGTTGCACCTCTGAGACCTAAGAAGTCATCTGGTGTATTCTTGACCAAACCTGCCTCTGTGAAAGCTTAGCAATAACCAGGTGTGCTTTGCCTTTCTCTGGATCATCCCAAGCTCTTATTTGCTGTTTTTCTTTTTCCTAACCAGCGCTTGCCAGCAAATCCTCTGTGTTCTCATCTGAGGACTAACAAATCACTAGATTACCTATGTCTAGTACATAATCAACTGTTGGATCAGCTAGCTTTACTTTTCTATGTGTACAACTGAACTATTATATTTTAAAATAAAATTTAAAAATAAATTAGAGCATTTATTAAATTACTGATATGGACAAATCCCTTTGTGTAGTGTTTTTCCAAAGAGTCAATCACAAAAGCCTTGCGTGGAAACACTAATCACTTCCAACACGCATGGTGGCTAAGAAGGATTGATGAATTGATGATTGTCAGAGAGATTCAGAAAATGTACTCAGACTACCCAGCTTCAAATCCTGGTCACAATACTTAGTTGGTGACTATAAGGAAGTCTCTTAACTTCTCTGATCCCCAGCTTCATTGCTCTAGACCTGGGCACAATGTCATGAACATAGCTCACAGTTAATGTAAAGATTAATTGCAGTCATTTGTGAAAAATTCTTAGCACACATTGATTATTTCGAGGGGGGCATTACTGTCATTGACACTGCTGTTGTTGCTGCTGCTGCTGTTTCCTGTTTTTTGCTTGATTTGTGGGGGCTTGGTGCAGGGGATCGAACTCAGTACCTTGTGCTTGCCAGGCAGATACACCGCTGAGCTTTTCTCTGGCTCTGTTAACTGTTTGTAACAAAAGGCAAAGCAGATCCAGTTGTCTGACCCACTACTAAGCATGATCACCCACATAGCCCCACTGGATTTTAGCTTTCTCATCAGGCTGATGGACAACGCCTATTCACCAACTCTTTATCTCTCAGTTTGTGTTCTCGCCTTTGTAATAACATTGGGATTTTGAAAAACCTGATCTGTATTTGAAATGAAAAACACTGTTTGCATAGTTTCCCCAAGAAGGATAGCCAGGAAACCAACTAAATCCATATCACTGAATACCTAAGCTGTGTGCTTGTCAAATCGTTCCCTAGTGACTTAAGATACAGGAGCAAGATCACTACTTAGGTGAACTTGGAATGCAGTTTTCCTTAACCTGCTCATTACATTTGATTAGCAAACAGGCACTGTGTCTCCACATTGTTAATGGCTGGCTAAGGAGACATGGCATCTCTGAAAGCTACCTTTTATTATATACACTTAGCATCATGCAGAGGCCAATGAGACAGAAGGCAAAAAATAACACATAGTAGCAACCCACTTCAGCGAGGGCTTCAGACTTACACAGGATGGCATTTAGCACTCAGTGAATGTGAATTAAGCCAAGCCTTTGGATGAAACCACATGTCCCAGATTATCAATAGCATTGTTGATCCCAAATACTCTTTTCCATTGTCCCCCTGAGTTGATTTATATTTGTTAACCAACAGAACAGACTTTAGATCCTGAAAATGTAGGAACTCTATTTCTTCTCAACCTAATACATGCAGAGAAAAAGTCTGTTCTGTTTCATCTGCAGCCTTGAACAGCGGCAATTTTCATTCACTGCTGGTAAAGTAGATATCAAAGAACCGCACAAAGATTGAAGTTTTAAAGCCTGACCAAGCATGGACATAGCAAGACAGCAGAAGCCATTGTTGTGCTGACCTTTGGAATAGATTAAATCCATTTTCCAAAAGCATTCTGAAGTATCTAGAGAAAATATCAAAAAGATGCAAGCACTGTGCAAGGGTTTCTCTGAAGTGCCCATTCTTTGGTGCCTTTCTCATGAACAGGCTGGAGGTGAGGAGGTGACCCTTTGATCGCCTCTCCAATTTCAAGGTCTCTGTCTTCCCTTGGCTTCAAGCCAGAAATGACAACGAAGAACCAATGGAATGTGGCACTTAGTGGAGTAGTTAACCTCCAGGTGAGTTGTCAGAGTGCTGTTTCTTTACGCCTTATCACAGGATAACTGGTCATTTTCCAAGGACAAGCAGAACCTTTCCAGCCACCAGCCAGAGTTACATTCTGCACAGACTGGCTCCAAAGGCTTGATGCATCAAGCCCCACACTTACGTAAGCCATCGCTTGCAGCTGAGGAGACATGTTTGCTCTTAAAGGGCAGAGATCTGTCTGCTATCTGAACAGAGATGGCATAGCACATTGCACGCTATTTGGATACAGAAGGGCACAAAAATGTCATTAAATTCTGGAGGAAGTGATTTCCGCCCCTTCAGTCCAGCCTCTGACCCATCATCTCTTCCTTGAAATGATCGCCCCTGGCCAGGTCTGATCTGCACTAAATTATTCGTTCAGAGGAAAATCAAGCTGTTTGGTTCCATCAATTTTTCCCCCTTATTTTTGGTGAAGAGTAGGGAAAAAAGACCAGATTTGGAATGACAGGACATATGTTTCTCAACGTGTTAGAGCATATTTTAATATCTTTAAAAGTGGGACATCACTGCTTAAGAAATCTAAAAATGGAATAAAAAGTTCAGTGTTCAGAAAAGTTGTCTGTCTGCTCAGAAAGAGGAATTGATGATATTTGTGATATATGTGTTCAATCTATAGTAAAATATCTAGTTTTTAAATAAAATAATCAAATGTCAAAGACACCTAGAAGAAACATAGGGAAAATTATTGAAGCTGAATCAAACTATTTCCAGTTTGTTTGGAATAGGCCAAGGCAAGGCAAATTGAAGAGCCATGCGTGTTTTTTTCTGTATTTGGAATTGGAGCAAAGGGCAAAACTAGAATTATTAACTTGGAAACAAGTTATTCATAGAGCATATGCAGGAGGAAAATGAAAGAACTTCTTAGAACTTCTGGGCAAACTATTAACTAGACCAAGAGCAATCAGCTTGCTAATGTCTTTACTATTATGTTGTGCTTTACTGAGCTCATACCTCCCAGAAATTGCACTTAAAACTTACGTGTCCTGTGCCTGACATTTGGGTGAGAGACACAGAGCCAGGAGGGAGCTTTCGGAAGTAACCAGAGCTGCCAACACCAAGACTCTGGTCTTCTGACCTCTAAAGCTCTGAGGAAATACACCTGTATTGCTCTAAGTCATGAAGTTGTGGTAACTTGTTATTACAGCCCTAGGAAACTAATGTTATCAGTCACCTCATGGTCTAAATTCCCCCGTGAACTCTTCTGTGGACATGGCACCTTATGCCAAGACCTACATCATACCACCCAAACCCACCGGTGTCCCTCCTTCTTTCTGCTCATGTATTTGGTCTATATGCCTTTGCAGTACCCAGCTCCTAGCCTGTGCAAGCCTCATCGGTACCAACAATACACTGATCCAATGTGCGCTTTGGGTTCACGTTCTGCCAGACAGCCAGGGTTTCTATCAGGCCCTTGCCCACAGTTTTAGTCACACTGTAATGATAGCTTTGCTTCAAAGAAGATGCCCCCCAGCCCAGCCAGCACCCTTAAGTAAAGAATACATTTGGCTTCTCTTGTGTCATTTGTCCATGCCTGTCCAGGCCAGGGAGGTGAGAGCAAACAGAGCCATGCTCACTTAGTGGGGTCTGAGGTGCAGACATCCCAGAAGGCAGTGCGTGGAGGTTGGGAATTGGCTGAGCAAATAAATGGTATTTTTGATGCCTTCAGCTTAGTATGTGTATCAGTGCCCAAATGGCTTGCCTTTCATTGACCAAGTCCTCATTAGGAAAATTATCTCTGCATTAGTCCTAAAATACATCTGATTTGTTTGGAGTAAAACGACCAATTGTCAATTTTCCGTGTTGTCATGGAGTTTACAGCCTAGCAAGAATGATAGTCATTAAATCTGTAATTATACATTTAATTTGAAAAGGACAAGTTCAAAGAATAATATAGGGATATACCAAGAGAAAGCAGTTGAGAATCAGAGAGGTCAGATCATGTCAAGTCCAGAGGCAGTAGAGAACACAGTGTGCTTGAAGAATCATAGAAGGCTAAATTTCCAACCTACCTTAGCTGTGGGGTTAGACTAGCCCTAAATAAAGATTACTGTAGGCTTACCTCACTAAACCTTGGAATAAGCCTCAGAAAAAGCAAATAACTCCACAAAAACTCAACTAGGTTATAGAAAATTTTAAAAAAGATCAAAAATTCCTTAAAAGAAGGTGCTGTGGCTTTACTGAGCTGTCCCCAAAGTCCCACGTGCTCACAGACAGGGCTCTTGGGAAGTGGCTGGATGAAGGATGTGTGATGACAGCTTAGTCCACTGAATCGTGCAGCATCCTCTTGGTGCAGTTGAATGGGGCTATGGAGAGGGTCGCCCCACCCTGGGTGTGGATGGTATGGGCCAATAAGCATGTAGCCTGCATGGAATACAAAGGGAGAGGAAAGCTCGCATTCTTCACACTGCTGCCCTGTCACAGACAGCTGCCCTCTACCACTCCTCTCTGCCAGGCCACTCTGCCTTAGAGCCAGGAGCTATGGACTAGACCCTCTACAAACGTGATCTAAAATAATCCTTTCCACCAGGAGTGGTGGCTCAAGCCTGTCATCTCAGCACTTGGGAGGCTGAAGTAGGAGGACTGCCACAAGTTTGAGCTAAGCCTGGGCTATATCATGAGCTCAGGATCTGCCTGTACTACACAGCAAGACCCTGTGTCAAAAAATAATAATAATTAATTAGAGTTAATTAATTGTCATTTCTTCTTTTAACTTGTGGGTGTCAGATATTGTGTTTCAATGATGAGAAAAATAGCTAAGACAGAAAGCAACAAAACCCAAACACTTAGCAATGTACAGTCTGCAATGGACAGTTCATACTTACAAGTACTGTAAAATGTGACACAGAATCAGCAGAAAAACAGTCAGTGCAAATACTAAAATGAATAAATAAATAAAGATAATGAGATTGGCAGACACAGGTGCTAAAATATCTATCAGAAATATGTCCCATAATTTTAAAGAAATGAAGAGTGGGAAAGGAAATGTGAGTTAGTCTCAGAAGAACAGACTGCAGCACCTAGAGAAACACGTGCTTCGGGGTGAAGGCAGGCTCCTAACGTGCCTTCTAAATTGAGTCTTCTCTGGCTCAGGGAGAAAAGCAGTCAGAACTCTTTCTGTTTTGTGTTTATAAATCACTGAACTGGTTCTGGGAATCTGAGGACAGACTGATGCTTTTAAAGAGTTGATTGAGGACGTATTTATCACTTGGACTTCCCATGTTTCCTATTGAACCTCCTGTGTCTGATTTATTTCCCTCAGCATTAAGGTCCCAGGATCCTCCATTTCTTACAGAGGACATGAATGTGTCCTTCTCAGCTGAGCTCTGTACCCTTCTGGATGCACACCACACCACCTCCCCTGCATCCGCACCTCTGTGGATGGACTTGCACACTGCTGCCAAATGCCACAACTGAGAACCGTGCTGCTCTACACAATCTGCTCATGTCCCTGTAATACGGTGACTTCAGCTGCTTCACGAAGATGTTTAGAAGAAGGGCAGCTGGATCCAACAGCATTTCTATTTTTGCTTTTTGAGGATGCTCCATACTGACTTCCATCGTGGTTGTACCAGTTAATATTCCCACAGCAATGCTACCGGTTCCTTTTCCCCCTACAACTTTGCCAATTTGTTGTTTTTTCTATTTTTTGTTGTCTTCAACAGTAGCCTTTTTTACTGATTTAAAGAACAAAATAAGAAACAAGGAGATAGTCTTTGTGGGGATGGGAATTGATTTGGGAAAAGGGGGAGAAGCATGCAGGGGCAGAAAGGGGAAATTAAAAAAAAAAGATACACCATCTACCCGTGTCAATTCCTCAAGATCAACAATGATTATGTATTACAAGCATTTATGGACTTGAAAAGTCCCCTGTTAACTATTACCTCAACAATCTCCTGGACGTGTACTAAGTGACACGTTCCAACTCCACATTCATTTAATCGTCCCTGAATGTCTAGTGTACACTAGGCATTGTTCTGGAACTGAAACAACACTGGCTAAAAATGTCTAAAAGCATTATCCTCATGGTGTTTGTATTCAAAAACAGAAAAGGTGGATTAAGATAATCCATTTTCTTCACAGGAACCGGCTGGGTGCAGGATAATGTTTTACATAGTACACAATAACTTATAGAGCCTGGGAAATACTGAGGAAGCACCACTGACTTCGTTGAGTGTTTAAAAATCTTTCTGGTTGCATTTAAGTGAGATTTTTCAACCTTCGAAATTGTGTTATCTTCGGAACCTGATAAACCATAAAACCATGTCGAAGTCACCAGTTAAATGGCTCAGTGTGCTCAATGAACAGAAGAGATGCATTTCAGTTGTGCCCAACCCAATTAAATGTCACCCAAGCAAATGAAATGTCACTCCCAACAGAAACTTTCTTTGCTGCAAGCCTCTGAGTACCTGACAGCCCCTTTTGTTGGACAGTATTGACTTTGATAATATTAACTGGCTGCAGCTATGGGGAGGTGAATACAAGTTAAGAGTCTCTATGTTTCATTGGTAGATTTCTCAAACAAGAAATTAAGATTAGTTGCACATTTAGCTATGCGATTTTTCTACAAGAAACCATTCTGAAAACTCACTTGTTGTGAATCTTTTCTTTTAAAGGTGTTTTTGTTTAGAGTCTAATCTGATCAATCTCAATAAAGAGTTTGCAGTTTTCCAAATTACTTAATCTCTCTCCAAACCACTCAAGTTCGTGACAGAATCTTGGAAGTGGGGAGACTCAGCCGATCCTTAATCATTCAGCTACCAGTGACCTGCAGGGTATGAACAGCGATGATACTCTCAGGCCAAGTTCAATACCCCCAGGCCGAGCATAGAGAGCTGGTGTCAGGGCTAAGCGCTCCTTGAGGACAAGGCAATGGCTGAGGTGCCACCAACCATCACGCGTGAACCAATTTCTCATTCCCTAGGCATCCACTGATTATCGATGTGCTAGCTTAAAAAAAATCATCTTTGAAAGAATAACTTCTCAAGTTTTTAAAAGCTCTCTTCTTAGAAAACAATTCAAAGCCTTTGTACTTTTGCTATAGACTTTGTCTACCAAAGATCCTCTAATTATCTAAGAATCAAAAGCAATAAGGAATTGACCTATGGCTTATGACTTATCAGTGAAAAACCGATGCAAATTATTAACATTGTCTTACTGTGTTCATATTTATTTCTAACTTTTCATATTTAATTCTAATTTTCCTTCTCAATCTGAACAGATCACAACAAGAAAAAAATATCTAGGGCTGGGGAGATAGCTCAGCAGTCTAAGCACTTGCCTGGCAAGTACAAGGACCTGGGTTTGATCCCTGGTATTACATGCCATGCCAGCCCTGAAACCTGGAGCGGTGGCACACACCTGTAATTCCAGTGCTGGGGAGTCTGAGACAGGAGAATCACTATGAGTATGAGCTACATAGCAAGCCCCTGTACCAAATAAATAGAAGATTTTTTTTAAAAAGAGAAGAAAAAATATCTAGATGTATCCATTTCAGAGCTTGATAAATAAATATGGTTTTGATTATCAATCCTAAATTTATTTCTTTCTTTCTTTCTTTCTTTCTTTCTTTCTTTCTTTCTTTCTGTCTTTTTTTTTTTTTGTATTTGGTACAAGATCTCACTACACAGCTTGGACTCACAGTGATCCTCCTTTCTCAGCCTCCCCAGCACTGGGAGCACCCGGGGGTGGCACGGGCACTGCTTGTGGTACCAGGGATCAAACCCCAGTCCCTGTGTTTGCCTAAACAGATGCTTAGTCTGCTGAGCTCACCAGTGCTTTTCTTTTTTGTCTTTTTGAGACAGGGCTTCATTATGCTGTTCAGGCTGGCCTTGAACTCACTTTGTAGCCCAGGATGACCTCAAACTCATGGCCATGTACCTGCCTCAGCCTCCCAAGTGCTGGGATCACACCTGGCAACCCTAAATTTCAGCAATGGCTTCAATTCATTCCACAGAGTATAAAGTACTCTAAATGTGACAGTGCATTAGGCACTGAAGCAAGAAAGCATTCTCCTTAATAGAATCACAGTTAATGAAGTTATAAGCAAGTAAACTGGAGCTGTGCAAAGCAGCGGCATAGAGTGTTTTACTGTAACACAGGGAATGTGGGGCACAGAGTAACATCAAGGGTGAAGTCAGTTGGCCTCTGGACCCCATCTGAAGGAAGCGTGCCAGGCAGGGGAATAGCATGTGGAAAAACACAAGACTGTGAGCTTCTGCACACATAGAGGGCTTCAAGGGAAAAGAGCTTGGGTTGAGGTTGAGATAGGGACAAAGGCAGAATGAGTGGAGATACCATGCCAAGAGGGACTGAGTGAATTATGCAGGCCCCACAAGCCTACTGGCGGAGCGCTTGCCACACTTCTAACTCAAAATTAAAGACTACCTTATGCTGTACAAAAGACAGAGGCAGAGTTAATACCTAACTGATTCAAAAGGGACACTGCCAAAGGTTAAAGAACTTGTCTTCTATCTTTGGAGTGCTATAGATTTTCCAATAAACAGAAAGGCCAGGTGAACCAGTGATATTATCATGGAGTCATGTAAAGTTTGACAGCATCTGTGGTTCCCTTGAACTTCTTGAGCATGCAGACCCTGGGCTACAGCCAAGCATTTGCAGAGATCCCAGTGCGCTTCTCAGCACGCTGGAATTGGTGAAGCACTGGTTGGCCCCACAGCAAATGTGCACATCGGAGACACCTGGGAAGACTTTCCCACCACCAAGGCCAGGCGTCCCCTCCCAGAAGCACCATTTTAATGGATCAAAGACATCTTTACAGTTTTTAACTGGTGTGGTTGCATATGCAACATTTCTAGGCATCTGTTGGAAAACAGGAAAAACACAAGCTATGTTAGAGACAAAAGTTGTCTAATGTGATACCTTTATGATACTTATAGGACAGGCAAAACACTATGGCGATGGAAATGATTGACATGTGCATGAGTGAATGGGGTAGGCCTTTGTAGTTCTTCCAAAATCAGTTAGCTATATAGGCCTAAAATCTTAAAAGTCTAGAAAAAAACATACGAATAGGTAGAAATTATACCCATCAAAAGCAGAGGTGGTAATTGAAAGCATGAGAAAAAATAAGAACAGGAACAGAATGAGAAAAGTAAAGGTCAGAAATAGAATTTCTTGCATCATCAACTTTTAAAGGGTAGGCCAAGGAAGTCGAGCTCAATAATGAGATTACATTTGCGAATCTAGATGAGAAAAGAGATCAAGAAAGAAGGGCAATATATATAGCAAGGGAAGAGACAGTTTCAAAAGATATAAATAGAGTCAAGAACTGTAGCACATCAGAAACATAAGAATTCAACAATGTCCTTTGGCTCTGCACCTAAGTTCATGTCTCATAACTGTATGTATTTTATTATAAATATGCATGCTTCTGTGTATTGCTAGGAAAAAAATACCTACCTAATGATCTTAAACATAGATTCTAGGTAGACGTAGCTACCATCTGCTCCATACAAAAGCTCAGAACAGTAATGTGATCCTGAGGTTTGTGGTCCCTCCTAAATTAGATGTCCAATTAAATATTTAGATGAGGAGAAGCATGACACTCAGATGGTGTTTTATCACTCCATATAAACACTGTGGTGTGCTCATCATTTTTTATGACATAAAGCTGTGGGACTTGGAAAATTATTATTTTGGTACAACCTCCTCCATCATAGTGAAAAAAATACAGACAAAGAGGCAGTGGGAAATGAGAGGCAGTGGGAAATGAAATTAAAATCTATGATTCTAAATATTAAGCTCCCACTAGTGACATGTTTGTACATTAGTTTGACTTCAATCAATTAGTATTGCATTGGTCACTTTATTTTATTTTTTTTCCATAATTTTATTGAGAAACAAATAGCAATGAGACAGTTTCAAACCAAATTGGTAAGACAGTTTCAATAACTAACACATTTCATACATTCTTCCTAGTGGTTATTTGCTGTACAAGATGCGGACATGATATCCTATTTACAAACTCTATTAGAACAAATACCTCTATTCATTAAGAGAATGTAACTACATATCTATCCTAACCATTTTGAATACACAGATACAAAATGGACATTCATTTTTATCCCCTTTTTTGTTAAGTTCCGTTATTTGAATATTACAGGTGTGTTAACTCAGCAAAATATTCTAAAAGAGTCCAGTAGCCCATAATAGTATTAGGTCCTCCACTTCACTGGCAATGTCAGAAATTGTTGACCTGAGTCCCCTACAGCTCAACATAACAGCATGACTTTACTTCTTATACTTCGTTTTTATACTTTTGTGCTGGATGGTTAAGACCAAGGTAAAGCAGGACCTATGCAACAAGAGTTCTAGCTTTTGGGTTTGATAAGGTCTGTCACTTTATTTTAAATGGTGCATGAACCCTACATAATAGTAAAAAGGTCATTAGAGAATGTTTATGAATTTGGAAACTGAATAGAGAGTTAGTGTCCCTCTCCGATCCCTCCAGCACATATGACCACAAATAAAACTCTAAAAAGTCATTTCTTTTTTCCTTTTAAAGTAGGATTCAACATACACACCCTTTCCAACTCAGAACTGGCTCACTTTGGATGAAATGATGCATACGAATGGAGAATCAACTATAAAATATTATCTGCATCTCAGTACAAGCATCATTGGGTCATACCGTAAGACCAATCCCTGACACCGAAGCATTACTCTGGGAATTAAACGGAAAAAACATATATCTGAAGAAAGCACGTTGTGGTATTCTGTAAGGGTGATTGGAAAAAATCACATATATGTGTATAATCTAACCATTCCTTAGTTTTCCTGCAATATCCTGTTACATATACATTCTTCTTTATAGGGACATAAACTCAGGGTGAATGTGTGGTCCTCAGGACTTAGGCAGCCTGGGACATAGCTCAGCAGCACAGCACCTGCCTGGTAAGCATAAGGTCCTGAGTTTGATTCCTGGTACAAAAAAAAAAAAAAAAAAAATCTTCCTGCTTAGGCAAAGTCTCTTCATAAATTAGTTTGGTTAGGACCATCTTGCCTGGAAAGCACCTTTCCATATCTGAACAAACACCACCATTACCTGCATACCAGTTATGATCAAAATATAGGATAACTTTTTAAATTTTAAAAAAATTGTTACAGTGAAAGACACACTGTCATTAATTCCCGGAAATTACAATCCTCCTGATTGGTACACACTGATTCCGCCATTCTTGCCACTTTCCGCAGCAGATCTGGAAATCCTCCTTCATATCTTCACAAGGCAGAATCAAAAAGTGTGGTGAGTACTGCTGCTCTGTGCCATCCGACAGAAGACAGACGCCTGACAGTGCTGTAGGGTGTCCTCATTTACCGCATCCACTGGCTCTGATGCCACGTGGCTGCTGGCCTCCCCCGCAAGCAGAGCGACAACGAAAGGCGAACATTCAGAAGTCTCTCAGGACACGGAGGCAGCCTTCAATCGGAGCACAAGCAAAAACAGGAAAAAGGACTTCTAGAACTGCTTGAAAGACGCCGCGAACGCAGACAGTGTCCTCAGAGCACGGCGTTTGGGGGCAGTTAGTGGCCACACGCTCTTTATGATAAGAATTTTAAGTGGAAGCGTTCCCTGTGACTCTCGGTCATCGCTGCGATTGTCGCGGGGTGATGGTCGCCAGGTAACACGACGTTGCATCGGAGTCCGAGTGTAGATGTCAGTCTCCAGCGTTGCACCAGATTCGCCTTTTCCGTGAAGTTCTTTGAGCACACATGGCTCTGTGGCCGTGGGCTGGTCACCGACCTTCCTTCAGCCTCGCTCTCCTCAGGAAAGGTCGCCCCAGGAACCCCTGAGGGCTGGTGACTGCAAGCAGCACACTGCGCACGAAGCCTCGCGGGGCGGCGCTCCCCACGCACACCGCCCGGGATTATTCTACGCGCAGCACGAGAGCTCACGGACTCGTTGTGCCAGGTCAGCCACTGCGGTGCTCCCCGCCTT